TAGCAACAATAAACTAACCACAGCACAAAATAAGCATGCCAAACTACTAATAACACATTCCACTCGTTCGCGATTGCTGTTAAAAAGCTTACTATAAGGCCAAAAGTGGCTACCATCTGGTAAGCCGACCATCGTATATATCGGACTCCACCTAGAAATGCTTTGTTGAAAAATACGACGTTATATTAAACTGATATATCTCGTTAAGCTAAAAACAGTTTAGTTAGTCACATACATTCATCAGTAGATAAAAAGCAGAGGATTCCAATATCAAGGGAAGATGGTTTAAAGGAATTCCCATATTTACTTTAATATCCTATATCAGTCAAATCTAGAAATACATCAAACTAACCGAATAAAACCAGAAAGTGGAATCTTTGAAAAGTTACGCATTATCCAACCACGCGTCATGAAATCTTTCTCGATCACCCAGGGATGTCCCTAAATTGAAAACGGATTTGAAACAATCGACTTCTAACATTAATAGAAATTAGAAGAGTTAATCCATCACTAATTAGGACATTATCACACAGAAGAGAGCAAACAGACCATATCATTGTCAATATGAGAAGTATACTGATGATGTCGTCTGTGTGACTTCTGCCAGGGCCAATATGGTGCCAAAAGTGGAGCGTGAGCGATATGTCCAAAGAGGTCATTGACCCAAGTATATTCGGAAAAGGTACCATGACCACAGTCATGACCAACTACAAACAGTGACGATCCAAACATTCCCATACAACAATACCTGAAGTTACACATTTAAGCACACAACCTATTTCTAAATTCGAAAGTGTCCAACGACAATAGATCGACTTTTTGTAATAAACCATACATTGCTATATTAGAATCATGAAGCAGATGTGAACTTATCTTACCATATAAACAGCCCAAAAATTCCAAACGACTCGAATATACCAACAAATCTGTACAAACCGTACAGAATCATTAAATCGAGAACTAGATAAAACAATGATTTGAACAGCGACCTTTCGAAACATGATGAAGGTACGGCACGTTTTATTTCTTCAAACGACGGCAATTTCGGTTTTGGTCGCTTAAAAAAAAATTAAAGAGTAACAAGCCATTAAAACACTCAAAAGATTGACTAATGAAAGTAATGTACTGCATTTTTAATAAGTGTATTTAGTGTTCACTGATGCGCTCACTGTTATAAAGAAGTTATTCCTCTTCAGGAAGCTACTGAAAATCTCTTTGTCTGAAACTGGCGTACTTTCTCTTTGGATAATATCCATTATAACAAAATGATAACATAATTTGAGAATTCTTTATACTTGAGTAAAGAGAGCAAAGCGAAGACTTTAAAATTCTGTAGATTATTTTTTGTACAAAGATTTATTACTGCACATCTGAGTAATGAATGATATAGTCATAACAAAACTACAGCTTGGTTTATTTACTAGTGATAAAATGAAGATGAAAAACTGGAAAGCTCAACAAAGACAGCCTTAACTATCCCACAACTTATTTCTACGTCCTAAAAAAAATTGATGCTCCGAAGCTAAAAAGTGACAAGTCTACATATTTCCCTTCATATCAAATTTTTGCATACATCTACTCGCTTTTCTTGAAGATTTTTTCCCAAATATATACGTATTTGGAATCAACACATTACCGCTTATTTTTCAGTGTTAGAGGATACAAAAGTTTTATAGTTTAATTCACTTAAAATTTTTTAGTATAAAGATTCAACGTTCTCTTTCAGAAAAACAGTTTATCACAATACATTTCTCTTCCTGGACGCGTTTGAACACTCGACAGTTCTCAAGGTGAAATAGCTATTATGCAGTCTACTGACAAAACAAACTTTGGAAAATAACACTATCAAACTATTTTGTGTGCTTCAATACACTATGAAAAGTACATGTGTGATCCTTATAATTTCCAAGATGGAAATTATAAGAATCAGACAATTTAAATTAGCAACAAAGCAATAGTTATTCTCATAACTTACTAAAACGATAACAAAGAAGTTCACTGTCAAAAACTTCATTATTTCGAACAGACAACCTAGCAGAGCTAATTGGTCCCAACTTGAAAGTAACTGGAAACTACTCCGCATAACTATACAGGTTTAAGTAATGCAAATTCGATTGCGTTAGCTAATCACTAATTTTAACAGTGGCTTCTATATCAGTTGTACCTTATTCTACACCCTCAATGACTCGTGCGTCAGAAAATTCCATATAGTGAAGCACTCTACATTCTGAAAGCGCTTGAACAAACCGAATTGAAAGAATCGAACACAAAGGGAAACAGTACGGAACACTACGCGTCACATGTGTGTAATTTGCAATATTCGCGTAACCTAACAACAAAAAATGCATAAACTTCCATCCTTACTTGATAAAAAAGCGATATTCAATTGGACAAGAACAACTACCAAAAGAGTAGACAGTTGTCAAATTTCGTTAACAGATCCTATGATAGAAATAAAGTCTTATATCAAATAAAATATCCCAAATAAAACTCTATCACACAAAACTCTACTACAGCAAACAGCAAATAGTACTTACTTGGGATGTAATCATTGTCATCGTCGGTGTTGCAGTCTGACGTGCCGCACTACCTGCCATCGGTATCCTTTTCGCATTCATAGATCTGTCAAACCGTTAATGAGAACCAAGTAGAAGGTCAACAAACATCAACTGCTCGCTACCCGTATCGTGTTCTTTGATCTCCACTCCCTGAATCACTCTTTCTCATCCACTTGCTCATCTCTGCAACTCCTCGCTTCCTCTCGTATGTCATTGCAGTGGTCGTTGAAATTCTTCGGTGGAGTAGTTTAAACTCGCTGAATTTGAGAGTATCTTACTCAGACTCTATTGTGAACTCAATTTATTGCAGCTCCCTTAATATGTTGCTTTCTTTTCCAGCAAACAATCGGTAAACAGACAGAATCCAAAATTTACTAGCAATGTGTAACGGGTGACTCAAACGTACACGTATGGAGGGAAATATTGTTTACCACTGCTAGTATCGCGTTCTTTTTTGCTCCGTAAGAAAAAAGGTTTCGAAAAACACGAATACGAAATTTTGCTGATTAGAATTCGGTATTGTTCTGCCAAGAGATTTGGAAAGAGACCGCACAGTCAACACAGAGATGAAAAAGTAGGATGTTGGAGGATGTATAAAAAATATGCTCTTTATTTGCACATGCAGAAAAAGCGTACAATATACAATACATCGAACTTTGAAAAAATAATATTAATGCTGGCATGTAGAAGTTTATAAAGCCACGTCAAGAAAGCCAGCTAGTAAATCTTTGACTACGCTAACAAAATTACAGCATTTAATAACTTTATAAAACCAATCTTTTGTGGCGTTGTGTTCAATAACTAGAAAACCAATATTTCTCGGTTATTTTAGGTCACTTTTCAATAAATTCATTTTACAATATTTCTCCGTCCGAAAGGATATCACAAACTGAATAAAGAGGAAGAATTCAAGAACCTTATTCAAACAGATAAAATTAAATGACCATGTTTTCCACGGAATCGAAAAAATATGAGCCTTCGGTGGAGGTAATGAGATAATTTCTTAAAACCAACAGTTATCATTAACTCTTTCCTAACAAATTCTCTTAATGCGATTTTTAAATTTTGAAAAAATCTCTAGATGACGATGACACACAGTTAAGTTTCACGGGTGAAATACGGAAAACAGAAAAAAAAACTTCAAATTCATTTTTTTTTAAATGTAAATCCGACCTGATATCCCACCACTCTATGATATGCATTCTTAAGAGTGGATATTCATTTTCACATATTCGTAATGAGATAAACAGCAGTAATCCCGCACAAATTAGAAAAATCAGAAAGCCAAAAAACACAGTATTATTGAACCAGTATTCATAAAATCAAATAAGACTTTTATAAACAGCAAACGAAGAAAGGAGAAACACTTGAACCACAAAACTTTTTTGAAATATGAAACATCTGAAAAGAAATAAATAATAATAATAATAATTACTAAAACATTAGTCTGAAAAATAAGTCTGTATATATGTCATATCAAAGATTAATTCCAATTCTTAAAATGTTTCTCTATAGAAGTCCCAAAAAAATAAAAACCTCAAAAAACTTCAACTAATGCCAAATACTCAAAAGGCCAAAGTAAAAGTCGTGGATACAAAAAAAAAAATTATAAGAAAACCAACTGGAATAAACCAAGAAATATCAAAATCACGTGAAAGAAACAAATACATCACATAAACGAAACGCGAATGGAATAAATTTTCTGATTTACTGAAAAGTATGATTACCAAAAACAAGTAACTGCTAAAATTTATTAGGCTATCCTCATCCAACTTTGCGAATAACATCATCTTGAATAGAAACAAAATAATGATCATCAAAGAGAAAGCAAAGAAATTGTGAATGTCTTTCTTAAATTTACAACTTTTCATTTTCTACAAAGATATTTCGAGTCGCTAAATGTATCTTTAAAATTTAAAAACATACATCTGGTTCACAAGTTAGAAATGCATCAAGTTCTAAATCGTATGACTAAAAGAAAATGAAGAAATCTTCAGGTATCGTATAAATCATAAATGTTCGAAATGGCCCATCATTCACTGTGCAAGTGCAAGAAATATTCCATATACCTTATAAGTATATAAAGAAATAAAAATATTTGGAAATGGATTTATAACACGAGAATTAATTTAAAAATTCAATATGAAATTTATACAAATAATAAAGCTATTACTTTTACTATTTACACTTTCTTTATAGAAGAAAGGCATACCGATAAAACTACAGAAAAAGAAAACAACGGAAATTGAAAACCCGGTCTTCCATGGAAACAAGAAGAAATATGATTTCAGAAAACTTAAAAAAACATAAAAACGTTCAAAAAAGCGAAATACTGAAAAACCTATCTGCGGAGTATTTTTGGATGTAATTTTCATTGTTTGATTATTTATTATCTGTATTGTTTAACTGGTCGTCCTGACGGCGGTTAGTACTCTTGGTTTCTCATGGGTCGTAACCAGCAACTTCTGGACAAAAATTTGTTATTTCGAATTTCTTGATTTGATATCCAAGCCTTAATGAAAGATAATTATTAGTAAATCTTCTCTTACATAAAATTGGAAGACCTAAATTGGGCTACAAAAAATCATAATCCGAAAATTAAAGTTGAAAAAGTACATAATTGTATAATATTGGGATAAACTGTCTAATCTTTTAGGGTTCAATTCTGATTAGTGGAGGTCACTCTGAGGATGTCTTTACGCTCTATTTGAAGTATAAAAAAAAACCAATCAATTTCTTTTGCCGTAAAAAGCAATAAGCAGTCAACGCTGACGAACGTTACAACTAATTTATTCACAAGAATGGAAATAACGTACCAATCGTAATCAATGCACAAACCGAGTGAAAGAATAGTAATTAAATAAAAATTCAGCTTTATCCCTTTCGATGTTTTTGGATGGATCTTTGGACGTGAGTGAAAAATAGTATTCGAGAAATTCCAGTAACCTCGACCTACTTTTCTGTCGGTATAATGCATTGGATCCTTCCGTTTGTTGCCTGTATAAGATTGCTTCACTTCAAAAATTATTTATAGAGATTTCTATGACAGGAAAGAACACTAAAGTTTATAAGAAAGAAATACATGAATCATGAAGCCAAAAATCAATCAGAAAATATAGATAAAGCTCAACCTAAAATCGTATATTTCGATGGGTGATAATCATCTTCTGTTTTTTTGATCTCATTCAGCGATGGAATGCCACTTTCAATCCTTGTAACAAAGATGCCAAGTGATGATAATCTAAGCAAATTTCTATAAGACGTCCTTAACATTCCTGCAAAATAGCACTATAATTTATACGAAAGGAATCAAGTAACAGAAAAATAATAAAAGCAAACATCACTCAGAAAACGACCTCAGCTGTTAATTAATTCCAATGAATGAACATGGATCATTTCATAGCCTCATTGTTTCAAGAAGAAAATGCTTAAATAAGATCGTTTGCACCACATACAAAATAGAGCAAATTGTTATCATTTGGTGAGACATGAAAATAAGAATTTCAAACTTCGTGGCATGCGACAGAGTTGCAATGTTTGTGACGATGTTGTTCGGTTTCTAGGGTTGGTTTGAGGGTATGCAAGAATGCCAGGTAGAATATACAAACCGAAACAATAAATGACGAAATTAGGGTTCAAATGAAAAGTCTGTATAAATTTTAGACCCAATAAGGAAAGTATGGTCTCAAAATGGTTGCCGCGATATATGGAAAATCCCTTCCAAAAAAATGCAAAAAAAGGAGCTGAATCTGTAAGCGTTGTTGATCATACTGCTTGCTTGCAATGTGTAAGAAAAAGTAATCCCTAACAGTTTTTTGTGCAGTCATAAGTAATTTAAAAGTGACGAAATTGCAAATGTGAGTCATTTCACCAAACAGCGCTGGTATTCATTGGGTGTACTGTGACCTGAGTAATGTGTTCACTACACACAGTTAGTTTCTGAAGACATTCCTGAAAAATAATACCATAATTTATACGGATGTGAAAGGAAAATAGAGCAGATGTCGTCATTCTGAAAATGACCTTGGTTGTCAATGGATTGCAACAAATGAATACGGACCATTTCATTGTGTTAGGAAAGAAATGTTCAAAGAAGATTGTTTGTAGTTAAGTCCAGTAAGACATTATTTTAGGTTACAAAAACGTGGCTAGAGAATGAAGCGAGGCAGCTTTTGAAGAAAATAATGAACAGGTCTCTGAGTAACGATGATTTGCATGGAGGCGCGTACACCGGTGGAGCCGGTATTGCTTATGCTATGTTAAGAGCTTCTTCGTCATCCTTTAACCACGATCGAAAGGAGTCTACGAAATATGGGAAGCGTATACTTACGCTACATTTGGAAGCTGCTAGAAAAGTTCATTTTAAATGTTTATTGTAAAAAACGGTCACTTAGCATGCGCTGGGATACTACCAATTGATCTTGTGATGGAAAAGTATGACTTTCATGCTTAGTAATAGAGACTGAAAATGATCTGAATGAGTAAGGATAAGTAACTCCGAAATGTCATATGAAGCTAGTCAATCTATGTACTGCCTTTTTAACCGCCATTTACTTCAGTGTAGCTTTTAACTCTAACTTGTGACTTCAGTATATTAAAGGAATTGTTGGATACCCGCTTTGTTGTGATTTTCTAATGGTGATTCTTGAAGGCTTTCTGCAACTTCTAACTCTGATTGCAGAAAGAATCGAACCGAGAAACATGTTATTTGTTGGGATCATTAAGTATTTACGTGGTGTGTATACTTTACGAAAAAACAAACGAAGGAAGCAAACGGTTGATTGACCATATTACCGAAATTGGTCATCATATAGCTTGTGGTGATGTACTTGGTGATGGAGATGACGAGCTGCTTTCTGGACGTGTCGGTTTCTTGGCCGCTGTAATGACTCTTAGGTTTTAATATTTTTCTGCTTAGCAGTTATCCTATACCTTTTAATCCCCTGGTTTAAAATTGCTTATTTTTATTTGGTTTCCAGGGAACATTTTTCACATAAAACCATCCCTGACGATTGTGTTGGGAAAGTTGTAAATAAAATAATCGCTTCTGGTAGATCTTACGCGTCTTCGAAGCAGTTTAAGATGCCGTTAATGTATCAATATCATGGACGTCATTATCTGGGTGCTGCTCATGGTCTTATGGGCATCTTGCAGATGTTACTTTGGTAAAATTGTGTAATTTGTATGAACTTCTCCATTTGAAACCTAACTAAATCTCTTGTCTGTTATTAGAACTATTTGATTGTTTGGGACAATGCATTTCCTGACACTAGACAGATTGGACATCGATTTACTTTGATTCACTATCAGTATTCTTTTGAACTTGAATATTGTTTGTATTGTTTAAGTATTATTTGTATTTACTTGAAAGCTCATGAAAAATTATCACAAGGTAATTTCTAAAACCTTCCAACTGTTTAGAAGCGTATACCTCTTTGCAGCTTCGTTGAATTTTTGGATGAGAAGGCAAAATCTGATGTTTTGGAAACATTGGATTGGATTGTCTCACTACAGTTAAAAAATGGTAATATTCCATCAAAAGTAGAAGAGGAAAAAGTCGATCGAGGTGAGAATGAACTGGTACATTGGTGCCATGGTGCCACTGGTGCTGTTCACTTGATGATTGTTGCGTATTTGCGAACTCACAACAAGAAATATCTAAAAGTCAGTATACTTAGGTATTTGGCTTATGTATCATATATTATTATCATTTAAACGTGTGGTGAAGGTTAGTAGTCTCAGCAGCGGTCATTTCTTTGAAATATGTTTTGTAAAATCATAGTAACAAATGGTATGTACGATAAGTGCCGATTGTTATTTTTCTTCGAACTATAGCTGTTATTTATTCTTGGCTGTTGTCGAACTTGTCATTCTCTTAACAGGAAATATTTCTGTGCAGCATTTTTTCCCGAATTGGAAATGAAATTTTAGAGTGCAGATGCAGCGCTAAATCTTATTTGGGAAAAGGGTATTTTGATGAAAGGATCAGGGTTATGCCATGGTGCTGCTGGCAGTGGTTATGCTTTTCTGTTGTTTCATCGACTTACCAATGAACAGGTTCTTTTTTTCAATTGGAAACATGATTAAGAGAAAGTTCACAATTTTCGAAGAGCTGTATGTTAAGAGTTTTTATCCGTCACTAAATGGCGTTTCGAAAATTATAGTGTATTTCTAGACTGAGAATTACCACAGCAAATATGCGGCTCGTTTCCTCGTTTCCAGTAGAGATTGTTAGTGTAACATAACAAAGAAGATATTATGTTATTAAATGATCTGAACGCGCAATTATTAATGACCTGGACACACAAATTTTTAGATTGCTCGATGCTGAAATATATTAGTTCCTTCTTTTTCAGCGATATCTGGATTGTGCTCTCTGTATTGCGAAAACTTTCTGTAGTAAAGACTTCAGAGGAAAAGCTCGGACACCTGATCGACCATACAGTTTATTCGAAGGGATAAGTGGAGCTTTATGTTTTATATGTGACTTACTGGAACCAGATAAGGCGCAATTTCCTCTTGTACCTATTCCTTTTTCCTAATTGTCTTCAGTATTATTGTTTTTTCTTTTTTGCTAATTATGAATGTCAAAGAAATGTTCAAGAATGAGAAAGTATTATCGATGTTGTATGAGTTGTTTCCGTTAGAAATAAATTTTGTTTTGTAACTTTTTCGTCACTAATAATACTGCAGTAATTTTCTGCTTTCTAATATAGTAAGCAATAAATTGGAAGATATAATAAACGAAGTGTTTTGAAATTGGAAGATATAATAAACGAAGTGTTTTGAATAAGGTCAGTCAAGAATTTGTTAATGATACATTAAGGGTAAAATGTAATTCTCACGTTTATTTACAGTTTCGGAAAACCATGTTTCGTGTGATGCATAGACGATATTTTGACAATCCGTATCTGACTAATAGTGAAGCTGAATCGGATAAGGTATTCACTGTGCATCTGATGATTTAAATCCCTCTGAATATTTAAGTTTGTACTGCGTTGTCTTTTCTTACCTATTTTCCATTATGCAATTTGGAAACTGCAGTTTTTTTTATAGGTGCAAATCGCACATGTGCTGATTTTTGGTTTTGCCTCACCTGAATGGAATTGAAATTTCCTGTTAAATTCTGCACTTACACTTTGTTTCGTAACTTAAAAAAAATTGATGTTGAAGGTGACTAAACAAACCCTGAAACAAGAAGCTGCAAATCTTGTGGAAGAGATTATGGAATGGAGATGTAGTATGGACGATTATGACGGGGGTGTTTACGTCGGTATTGCAGGTAACGGGTACAGTGTGCTGTATGCCTCACAACTTTTACCAGAAAAGACAGAACAGTATGCAAATTTCTGTAATAAAATGGTAGAGGAGCAATTAAAGCAAATCCAGGTTTTTTTTTTTTATCACAATTTTTCAGTGGTAGGAAAAGTTCAGTGGTAGTACTTACTTCTTGTTATATTTGTTGTTCATATTTATTGTTCGATTAATATACTTACAGTAATATCAAGATTTAGTTTGGAGATTCATTATATAGAAATGATAGGCGAGAATATCTTCTTAGACTACCATCTTAGTTTTTTCTTTTACTGAATGACAAAGTTTTCGGTGCTCTTTCATACATGAAGTTATTTTAACAAACTAACTGTATCAGCATAGTGGACATCGCAAAGACGGACAGTATTTGCTTGGTACACTTGGAATATATGTCATCAAGGCCATACTGGATTACGAAATCAAGAAGTTTGTGAATACAACTATCATCGATAAAGTAAAATCTTTGGCTGAGGTAATATGTGCCAAAGATTATTTGCCGAACGGTGCAGATGAAATATTTGTTGGTAGAGCTGGCTTTCTAGCAGCAGTTTTAACTTTAAGGTTGGTGCGTTCAATATTTAGAGTGAAGATATTACATTCAAGTAAAAAATTTCGGTTTTTCGTTTAATTCTCATAGATCTGTATTGATTTTATAACTTAAATTTTCTTCTTTTGCAGAATGCGTTTGCATCATGAAATCGTATCTAATTCATATGTCAAGAAAGTAATTGATTGTATAATCAATTCTGGCCGTTGTTACGCTAAACGACACAGATCTCGAACACCATTAATGTATCAGTATTATAACGTTGAGTACCTTGGTGCTGCTCATGGTTTGATGGGAATTTTACAAATGTTGCTCAGGTACAAAAAGAAGAGCTTTCTTTTATTAAGGCACATAATTTGTATGAATTTGTTGTTGATGTCATATTCCGCCAGTGGAAGAAATTGCAACCAGTAGAAAAAATATTTTGTAAATTTTCGATAACCTACTCAAACAGTTTTCATGATCTTCTGGATGGTACAACATTAAGAGATATTGAAAGTACACTGGATTGGCTTCTGGAAATACAGTCAAAAAACGGTAATTTTGCTCCAAGTGTTGAAGAAATTGGCATAAATCGTGAATCCAATGAACTTCTGCATTGGTGTCATGGCGCAACTGGAGCTGTTCATTTAATGATTGTTGCTTATTTATCTACAAAGAAAGCCAAATTTTTAGTGGTATTTATCGTTCTTTTTGCTTCTTGTTTGTTTTTTTTTAATAGATTAGGCGGTATAATACAAATGGCGTATCTTCTTAGATTTGTAACTTACGGTCCTTCCTTCAACTGTGATTTTCCATAAATTCCCATTTCCAGTTTTCAATTTCTATTTGTTCTCATCTTTGTTTTTCAATTTCCAATTTGTTCAGTAAACAGACTTGTTAATTTAACAACAGTAACAATGCTTAATCAGTTAAAATGTCTCTTTTTATGCGCGCTTAACGAAACTGATTTTTATTAATTGAAGTTCCTCTTCAATATTGCTGATATTCGCAGATTAAGTTTGTCGAGGACAACTTGGATTTTAATCGGAAAAATTACTAGACCTATCGACGTGACGGTGGCAAAGAAAACAAATTTTAGCATAAATTTCAATTCGCATTCAAGCTTTAGTATTATTAGGGACATGAAATTGTTTAAAAATAAGTTCAAAATGGAAATTGGTCAGAAAATAAGTGAGAATTTAATTCATCTCATCTTTTAGTTTCCTTATTTTACATTAGGAGTGTTTCAGGCAGCTGAAAAAGCGCTTGACCTTATTTGGGAGCGAGGTGTTCTACGCAAAGGACCAGGAATTTGTCATGGTGTTGCAGGTGGTGGATATGCGTTCCTTCTTTATTATCGCCTAACCCAGAAAGCGGTAAATATTTAGCTGCACATTTAATGAAATTAAATTCTTGCTTAAAAACTTTATAATGCTTCCATATTAGTTTTTTTTTTTTTTTTTTTTTTTTTGAGAGAGAGAGACATTCACCGATTCCATAGGTTCTGATTCTGTAATAAGTTTTGTATTGTCAGATAATGTGTTTTTTTTTTTTTTTTCAGAAGTACTTCAAATATGCGCAATGTTTTGCTCGAATTGCATGCGATCAGAATTTCAGGAAGTATGCCCGAATGCCAGATAGTCCATGCAGTTTGTTTGAAGGTATTGGTGGTTTATTATGCTTCCTCGTCGATGTTTCGAATCCATCAGTGGCGCAATTCCCTTTAATTCCAATCAGATTCGAATAAATATTGCTTCTTTGTTATTCATCTTTTATTCGTACACTTGTTGGTGAGAGCGGTATTGTTGATAAAATTTTTTCTGACATATGTGATTTATTGTAATTTTATTTGTATAGTCACTTTCAAACTAAATTTATAGTAGTATAATAACAATTTTTGTTTCAGTTTGCTTTTTTATTTACATTGAAATGTATGCTAAAAATATGGGAGCTGAGCAAATGTATAAAGTAAATTATAGACTATGATGTAGCAAAAAGCCTTGCGAAGTATTTGGAATAACCTCTAAAAGTTATATGAACTAGATATAGAAGTAATGGGCTTCGCAACTGTTGGCTTGTGAATAGTAGAAATAGTTCTATAAGTTGTATTGCTCTAATTGTTTCTCATTTATAAATGATCTACATATTATGGAATATGCGGGATGTTTGAATCGTCCCGTGTTTCATTCCCATCATTTTTGGGTAGTTATGCTAAAAATTTAGTGGATAAGGAAGGTTGTATGCTTCATTGTCATCATTAATCATTGTCACCTTATAGACGAAAATGGCAGTAGGACCACCAGTTCTTTTTATTGTTGTCCTCAAGAGACAAGCATGTCGTAACACTGTCTTTTGTAATTTTCAGGCACTTTTGATGAAGATTATGAAAGGGCGGCAAGAGTAGCACATAGATACATAAAATGCAATAATGGTACTAATATTAGTATGCAAATCGCACAGCATGTCGTCTACTCCTTGCAACACCATAGAAGTCGGTGTTCCTGTTCATGTCGCCAATTTGTCTACGTTGACGCTGTTATCGTCATACACTTTCTCACAGCCTAATGACTTCTCCTAAAACATGCTAATCCGAAATCAAAACTATCTCTTCTTTTAACGGTTTTAATTCCTTTTCCTTTATGGTACATTAAATAAAAATTAGTTGTCCCGAATCTCGCATGTGGTATTTTCTATGCAGTTCGTAGTAAGTGAAATATTTGAAATACTGAACTTTCATTTCAATAAATTTATTATGATTACGTAAGAAGGTGTGTTACTTTTGTTTTTACAGGCTTAAAAAAAAAAAAATTGTTTTACTGATGGATGCAAGGAATTGTACAAAAAAAATTATAAAATTTGTAAACGAGGTATAATCTCCTTAGCACAATTCACATTCTTTATCTCTTTAAGATACTTAAAATATCACTAAGGTTTTTGAAGACTTCTAATCTATTGCAGACAGATCAGTTTAAAAACTGTTGTCGAGCATTTTTAACAAACCGTACATCGCTATCTTATCTGAGAGGAGTATCAATGTGCTAATCATACTGCTTCGTTATTCGTTAGAACCATTCATTGGAAACTATTCCGAAGACTGTGATATACGCAGTTTACAAATTAGCAAAACTCCGAGTATCTTTGAATCGAGTGACGTTGCTTACTGCACAACTAAGCTGCAAATGATAATATTGATAGTGGTAATGAGATTGGAGCCAGAATACATTCTCCCACTGACGTATCTGTCATTCACAGTTGTCAATCAAATATAATGCTGTAGCAGTTGACTTCCTTTTCTCCATCGTTTTCATATGTTTTCTCCTCTTTTTTCCATTATTTTTAGTTCAGCAGTATATTTTATCATGAATGCAAACATCCTTTCTTTACAACTTTCAAAGAAAAAAAACAGGCGTTGTTCACCTTTTCCTAATTTACTCATCTGCTAACTTATAAAATGTAATCTCTATTTTATTTGAAATAAATGCTAAATCGATTAGAACTGATTCTTAAGATTTGAATTGGAGAAGGTTTGTGCATAATTTTATACCACCTTCTTTGTTCTCATATTATTCCCATATGCAAGGGACTTCCTCAACTTCACTTCTAATTAACGAATTACTTCAGTGGGCTTATGTGTACGGTAATTTTACAGTAATCATTTTCACAAAATATGAAAAAGTTTTAGGATTTATCACTTTCAGTTCGTATCAGTCACTTATATGTGTATGTGCTGATTGAACTGTTCTGATAAAAATAATATAGTAATGGCTGGATAAAAGCGATTCTAAAAATCATACTCACTCTTTTTTCAAATCTCACTTCATTTATTGCCATCCAACAAGAGCTGCGAAATTTTGCTGTTCGAAAAAATTTCACGAAAGTGCTTTGTTTGGAAATGAGACATCGAAGCATAATTTTGTTTAAATATGATACTGGAAAATAATTTTTTGGTCATAATCCTTTGTTAAATCTTCTAAATCTTCTTAGAAAATGAAATTGAACAATAGAGTTATCATAAAGTATGATGTTTTCCATCTTTTCTTTCGCTAGGTTGACTCCGTGAGGACTTCGTCAAGTCAGTCAGAGGAAGTGGAGTATAAGGAAATCAGTAGAAAACACGTATGCAGTTTGTCTAGCGTCCAAGATTCTCAACAAACTTTCACATCGTTGACAACTTTCGGTATTTCCATTCCTTTTTTATTCCTATGTGTCAGAAAAACAAAAACGCTCTGATATGTTTTTTTTATCTGATTTAATTTTTGCCATATTTTATTTCCTAAGTAAAAATGATTAAGCTAGAAGCTAGTTTTATCATATTTGAATATTTCTTGTCGAGAAATTTAAAAATTCCCAGTGTTTTGGGAAAATTAAATGATAAATTGGTATTTGGTTGAACATCCAAAGAAAAAAAAACCGATTTAAAAATGAAAAGATGTGCATGCATCCTAAAAAAACTCAAGCATCCATAAAAGGCAGTAGAAGTGTATTTAGCGAGTATTAAAACAAAAATGAGTAGCAGGAGCTGGGTCAAAGAACATGCCGACGATAACTATAATGCATGTATCCGGAGCTTTTGCATTAATCAGTTTCAAATTAATATAGCTGATTAAAATTCAAATTAAAATAACATAACAGAACAAGATTGGTAAAAGAACAGTGACTGCTATCTTTTGTTATGAATCGTGTACGTTAGATTAATTAGCACAGTATAATTATGAATAGCGTAAATTAAACGTTTAGATTGTAAAATGATTAAGATGTTGTTCTGCCCATATGATTTACAATCAGCTGAGTATATTCCCAATTTATTGTTACTCATTATCATTACAGTTGTCTTATTCTCAATTAATTAACATTACATCTCAATGCTACATATTTCGTCATTTTACGAGGCTCATATATAACATATAAAATGTTAGGGTTGAAGTTTTTATTTATTACAAAGTCTGATGCATACCTTTTTAGGCAAAAAATTTCTGAAATTTTTTGAGACTACTTCTAAAATAACAAATTAGTAACTAAAAATGCGTAAGCAAAATTCATGTGACAGGATTGATGTCCTCTATTACTATTTTTTGTTTGTAAACATACTTTAAGCCTGCTCTTAATACTTAAAAACTTAACAGTGCTCAAATACTGTATCAATTCCATATTTCATTTACATTTCTTTTTAATTGACTCGTTTGCCTGTAATTGTCGTATAGATACACATACTTTTTAATGCAAAGAAATGAATGAACGTAGTTATCTGTATCATCAATATACAGTAGCTTGGTTATCAGGAAAATATTGCTGGAATAGAGTCAGTGCTGAAGAGTTTTTCCATGACGATAGAGGAGATGGCAGATCGGGAGAATCAGGATAACATGATAATTGTAGAGGTGACAGTATTCCTTGACAACGATACCTACAGCACAACAACAAGATTAACCGAACTCTTATACAGCTAGGTCACAATCAATGTCGAGCTTATTTTAAAAATTAACAGTCAAAAATCTATGTTGAATGTAATGCACAAAAATCAAGAGAGGCACACTATACAGTAAAATATTAGTAAAGTAGAAACTAGTAGTAGAAAAGTTTACCACTAGTAGAAAAATTCTGTCACTTAAAAAAGGTTTGGTAACTTTATTATCTCCTATCCCAAATATCAATGCGAGGTGTATTGTGTTTGCTACTTACGCTAATTTTCAAACTATGAAACTTATTTTTTAAGACGACTTTCTTTCCAAGCCGTTCCAAAGAAATGCTTGTTATTACAATGCAGAAATCAAAACAAATCATAATTTATAACTGAAAATATATTGTACGAAATAATGTACGTTTAATCGCTGATTTAAACATAATTGGTTCTGAACAGTCCCTTTTGCAGATATTTCGTGCGAAACAAGTAGCTCAGCAAATAGGTGTGATAATTCTTTGCAGTATGATATGTTGCAGGTAATTTGTTCAGAAGAATAGGAAAGATAGCGAAATAAAACATTATGAAATGGAATTTGTAGAATGAAATGATAAAAAACGGGTAAATCAGTCTGAACAAAAACAAATGACCCTGCAATACAGTGTTAAATTGTTACTGGAAGATAGGCTTGTCAGTCCCTTTTTTAGTGGATTAGTGCCGTTGAGAGCGGCAGATGACCATAACAAACTATATAAACACATATACAAAAACACGTGGACATACAAACAGACAGATGGAAACCCTATAATGAATTATCAAAAGGAATCAGGGACAATATATGTAATAATAGTAGAAAACAGGAGCAGGAAGTCATTAAACAAATCCTCTCACCCTACATGAATAGTCACTTAATTGCCTGTAATCCTAATATATTACAGATTTCAGATCCAGTACAGGCTAGGTTACTCTACAACGGTACTAAGTGCACTCTTATTGAAACTTTGTAGGATTATGTTTAATACTGCTGCTTTCCAAACTGCTCATAATTTTCTGCAAGATTTTCATAAATTTTGTTCAAAAAAAAGGCTGCAAGGAACTCTAAATCAATAGGCCTTCTGTTTCTGCAGTTCATACCGTAAAATTATATCCAGTAAAATGCATATCATGTGCTTACTCAGTCATATGGGTTTTACTGGATGACAACTCTCCAGGAACACTCACCGCACCAATTATTCTCGTAGAAGATGAAGTCAGCATATGTTATTCATGGTATATATTTTCTAAATGTTCTATCACATTATTTATATTAACAGAAACAGTTTCAATTAGATTTAACTACGTCATGAAATTTTCTAAAACGAAATTTGTATAATTACAAATAGTAATCATAATAGTAGAATAAAAAAAATTAGCAAGAAAAGTGTTTGTAAAGGAATTTAAAAGGGAAGGAATAGAATGCTGATTGTATCGGAATAGGAAGGTATCAGTAACTATTACGTATAGGACAAAAAGTGCAAAGTAGAACTCATCAATGATGACGGACCGATTTTTCAACTTTTTTATCAATTTGATTTAAATCCTTTCCTTTTTAAGAACTTAGTCATCATTTGCAAATGAAGACCTTCATTTTTTGAGTCTTATATTTTTTTTGTTGAAAGCTTCTGAATCTTATCAACTGAAAGAATACCCGTTTGTATTGTTAATATCGATTTCTAGAAAAAGGAAGTAAACTCAAATACCAAGTTCAAATACATTCTTGAGGCACAATAAAAAATGGAAATTTTTGAGATACAATAAAAAATGAATATAATCGAATCGAAAACATATTGCTAGAACACCAATCAAATCTCTGAACGCGAATCAGTAAAAAGTACAGCAACAGTCTTTGAGTGACATAGTAAAAGTATACCGCCCTTAACAAGCAATACCTGCGTTGAGTGTACTAGTTAAGCGGTCAGTAAAAAGCGAAGAAAAATGATTAAGCTGGAAACATGTTCATATTAAATAACAACTGTTCTTGCTTCCTATGAATGTTCCCAGTAATATTTCCAGGATCACATACAATTAGTCGAAAAAGTAAAGTGGCTCTCATATTACAGATAAATGAAGCACACAACATAAATTTGATTTACGCAATAAGCTATTTTTAATTTCAGAACAAAATGTTAGGGATAGTTTATGTTGGTGACTGAAAAATTGTTTAAAATGATTTCATTAGCGTCTAAATATATTACAGATAAATGTACATAAAGTTTATGAGAAGTCATTAATGTGTAACACAAAACAGAGGTACAAAAATTTCAGTAGCTAAAATTTAAATAACTGACGATAGCGAACAATGCAACACCAGGAGAATCTCACTTTAAAAGACAGTTCATATAGTGCACTAAGAAAAGCTTGCGACCGCTCAGCTTTAAAAAAAAACACTGATATAGATCTCAGAGGCGATTTGAACTTTTGAAGGTATCATATTATTCTACTGTCAATTTCATTCGTTGCTCTGATTTGCCAAAATCTCTATGGCAAGATAAGTTCCAGGAAATGCTGGTTCTCTGGCTTCGAGATGATATGTGAACATTATATAAATCGATATGAAAACAAATTACTTTAAAAACATTATCCTTTCCAGTAACTTAGTTGGAAAAAGTGTGGATAAAAAACAAACTTTTGTGGTCTTCTATTAGTGATTTTAACATTGCTGATGATAGACAGATACTGATAGATAGAAAAATTTAACAAGATATTTATTTTACAAATTTAATAAAGCATAAAGCAGCTTAAGCCTACATTGTATAAAAATATTAATGCACCGAGTGCTCAATTTATTGTACCAAATTGGTTAGAATAATGACTGAGCAATATTTTCTTTATGTACATCTGATTTAAGGTATAGACCGGTAATTTGCTGCAACAAATTAGGAATGTAAAGGGCAATATAATGTTACATATATTTAAATTAATAGAAAAAAAAATTTTTAAAATTTGTTGTCAGTTAATGAAAATAGTCTAGAGAGTAGAAATAGTCTTCATCGATAGAAAAGATTTTGGTGAATAAATAGAACGGTATAACAACCATTTTAAGAAGATTTTTTAGAAAATAAAAAAATCGAAATTCTGAAGAACAGAAAAGAAGCAAAAATATGAATTAAATGGGAAGACGGGGAATAGACTCCTCAAAAATAGAAAGGGTAGCATATCCAAAAATTTTTGGATATGAGAAACATTTTAAATGTATGGAAAGGAGTATAAAATATTGGTTCCAAGGAATGTACATTAGGACCGAGAAACAATTTTAAAAAATAGTGAAAAAGTGACTGAATCATATAAAAATGCTTTTGATAACATATCATTCATTTACAATATAACTTTTCTGCTAACTAATTCGACAGTTTGTTGCTTGTGCTGATGTTGCTGTTGAGCAATGTAGAAACGCATTAAATCACCGCTTGATACATACGGAAAGCCGACAGTACTAGCAGCCACTACTGATGTATCTGTAGCTGTAGCTGCTGATGGATCAACTGCCGTTGCTGCAACGGCAGGTGCTGGTGCAAACTGCTGTGGCAGTTGTGCTCGAGGGGCTGCAGCTGCTGTTAAAAATCGTGAATGATCCGACAAAAAAGCACCCGGTAAAGTACGTGGTACGCCAATTGCTAGTGGCGGGTATCCAGGGGCAGCAAGGAATGGAGGTAGTCTTGAACCCTGCTGATAAAATGGATTAAATAACGTTGATGCTACAGCACCATACTGCTTAAAAACATCAAGGCGGGCTCGTGTTGTTGAGGAGGGTCGTCGTCGTAACTTACCCGTTGATCCTCCAATAAATACTTCATCTTCACAGGAAGCATCTAACATCCAATAATTACCTGAAAAGTATCACTTATTAAAAAAATACGAAAGACAAAGAGTGATGGAAATATACTATGTGCAGCATTTACTGCATTTTCTTTAGTTTTTAGATTGAAAAGGAAGAAACATGGTTAATGATGCTTCAGTGATATAGCTATAAATTAATTTAACAGATCAGAAGCTTAACCTTCCAAACATAGTAATGCTCTGAAGTTTAGATCATTCAGTTTAAAATGTTGGAAGGAGTGAATCCCCCAATAAATACTACCACTACATCCTACCTTACCTGTTGTTGCACCGCCCTCATTAAAAAAATACCGAAAAAATCCATGTAAAATATAATTTGTGAAAAAAATTGATTGACAAGCTAGCTATTAATGGAGAATAAATATAAAATGATGCTGCTCCTGTGATGACGAAAATGAATAATGTTACCTTTTCCAGGGTCATCATAACTCCTCGGTACTTTGACGAAGCATTTATTGAGAGACAAATTATGCCTGATCGAATTTTGCCACCCTTGTTTATTGTCACGATAAAATGGGTAATTTTTCATAATATAATCATAAATCCCACTAAGGGTTAATCGTTTCTCCTTACTGCTTCGAATTGCCATCATTATCAATGCGTTGTAGCTGAATGGAGGCTTCCCATTTTCGTCTGACTATAATATTATCTCATATCACTCTATCGTACATCAAAAAATACGATTTTAAATAGGTTCTCATCAAAGTTATAACAGCAAAGTACTGAAAAAATTAAACAGTACTTTTAGAGGATCTAACAACTTTACTTTTCGATTTACTTTACTTTTTTCTCATTCAATTATAATGTTAAGGTGAAAATAACCATTATTCAAAAGTTTTTAGAAAGCTAGCATAATCAAATTATGAATGATATAAACCTCTTAATATTTAAAAACGACGATTAGGTGAAAAATATTCAGTGTAAGACTTTAAAAAAAGAACAAGCGCTTTACTTTAATAAATTCAGTTTTGCATGATCAA